TATATTATGCATTCCTTGGTGTGTGTGCGCGCGCTTTACGTTTTTAGTTCAACTTGCTAGCTTAGTGGATATGGTTGGAATATATGGTGCAAAACTCTTTTTGTGCTATGCGCTACTTAGAACAACCTAGTGTATATCTAGATAAATCTTGTGTAGGTTTTATAAGTGGTTTTGGACCTTAGTAGGTTTTTTTTGGTAGGCGGGGCTGGCCCGCGCATGCTGCATAGCAATCACACGCCTATGGCTTGGAGAAATTTACAAAAATATGCATGATCATTATTTATAATTTTCCTACAAGCTAGTTTTACCGTTTTTATATACCTATATATATTTATTACAAACAATTCGTTATGGGATCCGAATTAAACATGCATGGACCTTATTATTTACATATTTTAGCAATACATATAAAACATTATTCACTTATTACTACGACGCGATCGAGCTATATATATAGTCAGGTGACATGGACAAGGCTACTTTGTACATAAAACACGTGGACGTAGTACTGGTTGCTGATATCGATCCGGCTGGCTTTCCACAGCGTGTGATTTATTAGGAGAAGAGTTGCTCTCTCGTCAGCGCGTCATATCTTTCATTGGTACAGGAGCCGTAGTCATCTTCTGCGAGAGCGCTTCCCATCCTTGAAAACATGAAAACAAAATCATTCAGAAGAAGAAAAAAAAACATAAAAATTTGGAAGGAGGAAGTTACAAAGATTTTAGCTCGTTAGCTATAACGAGCCACGTCGAGCCAGCTCACGAGCCGCTCGCGAGCTAAACGAGCCAAGCTTCCAGGATAAAAAGTATCAAAACTTATATTAGTTTTTGTATTACTTCATGTCTTGCACTTTACAATTGACTGGTAACTGGTCTAGACCCTATAAATTGACTCGTAACTGGTCTAGATGTATTTTTTTATATTATTATTATTCTCAAACTTTAGATAAATGCAAATATTATATTTTGTGTATTTTTTATACCTGGCTCGTGAGCTTAACGAGCCAGCTCGATTTTTTAACTAGTCGAGCCGAGCTGGCTTTCTGGCTCGTTAGGATAACGAGCCGAGCTCTTAACGAGCCAGAACGAGCGGAGCTGAGCCAGCTCGTTATCCAGCCTTAGTCCCGGTGTACATCTCCTCCATCTCGACATCCCTCTCGGCTTGTCTCCTAGCTAGTCTCCTCGCCCCAAACCTTGTCAGGGCGGTGCATATATGCAAGCGTTGGTCTACCGGCCAGCGGGGAGTATTCGATCAGCTGCTTCCGCATATATGCAGGCATTCTTTTCTACTAGCTAGTTTCCAGTGCATAGGATAGGATCCACTGGCATGGACCGTGCCAGAGTGCTGTACGTGGAAGGCAAACCCACCACCACGAGGCGTTCTAGCTTGTTTCTGTAGGCATAACCTTCGATCGGGACCATATGCATGCATGATGAGTGCGCGGCGCCTTTTATATTAGGACCAAACTAGAGTCAGAAACAATGGATCCATCACCAGCTGCTGATTGGCTGCGTCTACAGCAAACAAGTCTAGTGGTTGGTGCACCGAGCCACGGATCGATCCGGTCTTTGGGATGGGAAACGATCTCCACACAAGTATCCATGTTGGGTTTGTCGATGGCATGCAAGGGTTTCAGAAAATGTTCCGATCGATTCCTTGGTCCCGTCCTTCTCGTCTCTTGGCTTTTTGGAAAGAAAGAAACAACCACAAACCCTGTCCGTGTCTTCCAAAGGAATTCCACTATTGTGCCACCAGCTCTTTGGGAGCCATCCTCCAAAGAGGCTTACGGATTACTAGATTGCAGCTGGTTACATTATGGTTTTCTTCGAACCATAGTGAAAATTAATAAAGTTTGACTAGCACGAATCTTGCATTGATAATTTTTTAGTGACAAAGAGAGCAATAATCTTTGGTGAATTTCTGAGTCAAAGTTAAGTATATTTGACTCGTCCATGTCAAAGAAACTAACCAAGGGAGGACTGCGTCTCCGTGTCAAAAGCATGGCCGCTAATTTTTTTTATGGAACAACTTATTATTATATAATTATGGACAAAAAGGCCTAGCTAGGATCACGTAGGAGTTGACAAGTTTGTCGAGAGAATATAACTGAGTGGGAATGGAGACAGGTACGATGGTCAGGCCCGCGAAGAAACTAAAGCAGCAACAGGAGAGGGGACATACATATATAGTGCGCTCTTTGCTGCCGGCCGGCCGTCGTTGCCCCGGCCATCGGCGTCGGCCGCGCCCTTATTCCCCGTCCCATCTCCACCAAAACAATCCACCGATCACTGCCTCCTAGCTAGTGCTCCTTGTCCCCTCTCTGATCCGGAGTGACGGCAGGATATACACCTCAACTTTTTATATTTGTTGCTCCTAACCTCGTACATACATGTAACTAGCAATCATGCATGTGTACGACGACGTGTAAGTGTAATCATGCATGTATGATGTATCTAAAGGTCAGTTAACATTATATTATGTTATTACCCCATTTGCTGTAAATTAATTTGTTTGACCAAATTTATATAAAACTATATTAAAATATATTTAATATCAAATCAAATTAACATATATCATATTGTATATTTCTACTGAATTTGGTTTGATGTTGTAGGTGTTTATGTATTTTTCTATAAACTTGATCAAAACTAGAGAAGTCTAACTTAGATTGAAGTTTACAACAAGCTAATTAAGATATACTCTCTCAAATACAGTGCATTGTGTCTTTTAAAATTTGTACTGAAATATAACGCATTATATATAGTGTTTATGCTCGGGGGAAAAGGTACAAATACAGATATTTTACATAACATACACGTGCGTGCAGTTACAGTTATAATCATAAGCAGTTAATGAGCACATATTTGTGTGCTCTTATAAACTAAACTGCACTATAAGTCTATATCGACGAGCAAGCCATACATATTAAACTCACTGACTATTCACATCACCTCCCATTAATAGGCATATCATCACACTAACTTTGTACCTCTTAATTGCAAGCTATCTACATCATCTCCTGTAAATTTTAATCATAATTCTTCACAATACCGCAGCAACACACGGGGTATCTTCTACTATCCTATATGTACAACTACCTTCAAAAGGCAGTGCTGACAAATTAATTGAGGAATATGACTTGCTATCCACATGCAGAGGAACGTGGTCTACCGTTAAAAAAAACAACACCATTTCATCATCTAAACTCGACCTGGGGGGGTGTAAGCCACCTCAGGCATTGTTGTTTCATCATCTAATTAAGGAATTCCAAAAAAATAAAAGCATATGTGCCCAATCTTGTACTTAACCCTCGGCACGTGTTCCAGCAAACAAGGAACTTAACCATTAGTGGATCCATGCTTTGTTTAGGTGTACAGTCAGGGGTGGACTCACCGTCCGGCCACCCTGGCCAGCCGCTCGGGCTCCTTGATGAATTCGTAATGAAGTTGTCATGTTATTTGAAGGATTGAAATTTTTCTATGGCAAATACTCATCATACTAAGATTTAACCGAGCTCTAAAGCTTTCCTAGGTCCGCTACTGCGTAGAGTATATGTATATTATGGTGCATAAGAAGCCAACAATTATATAGTTTGAGGAACAATAATGTCACAGATACGTCTTATTACATAGCCCTAACCTCATGTTTTATTTGTGACATGGCACTAGACTCATGTTATCAATTTTTTTTTTAAAATGAAACATTTCTTGCCTTCACAAGGATATGAAGCCATAGAACAATGACAATATATCGTAATCCCTCTATTCTAAATTATAAGTTATTTTATTTTTTAAAGGTGCATAGTTTTTTAATGTGTATGTAGACATAACATATATATAGATACATAACAAAAATTATATACCTAAAAAACAAAATAACTTTACAATCATGGTATAGGTTGCCTCACAGCCTCCAAAGAACTTTGGTATTTATATTTTGTGATTTTAGTAAAGAAAAAAAAGAAAACATATCTATCCAAAGCATGTTTTAATACAATGATGTGGGTGTCATTTATTTTATCTTAAGCTAGTCTTGGTGGTAGTTTCATCCGCATTTAATAATATGTCACATATATAGGCATTCTTTATGACAACACTGTTTGTTTCGTTGAAATTTGGTTTATACTGATGCTTATGCTGATTTGTTATCAGAGGATAACCCTGTTCGTTCGCTGAAAAGTACTGCTGAAGTAGTGTTGCAGAATAGGGCGAATATTTTTTTAGAAGAGAGAGAAAATTAGTTTCATGTAGACGGAACTCATTTGGCTTGGTTTGTATGAGTCATGGAATTGAATGTTATGAAGAGGCTATCAAAAAAATTATACATTAAGAGTAGTTGTTTTTCAAATTTACTGCATTAATTCTAGCTGATGTGGTAATTTGAAACAGTGCCATAAAATGTTTCACGAGGGATAGCTGATGTGACCAATGCACCTCGTAAGGGCACTCTCAATATACAAACCACCATAGTTTCTATAGATATTAATTGTACTGCTATCTAAGCATTTTTCTGACGTGGCAAGATAGTTATTGAAGAGAGAGAGCAAAAATCATAGAAGCTAGGTCTAAGTTAGAAATCATGTCTACACGAGAACCAAGACATGAAGGGACATGATTGGTAGAGAATGGAGAGAGAATGTATGTGATTGGATAAAAAATTATTCTGTAGAAACCATCTATTGGGACCATTGCTTCTGCATGTAGTGTCTATGAAAATTAATAAGTATAGAAACTACGTAGGACCGCCCTAATGCCATCTTGTAGTCATAAACTCACAATCTAGATGAATTGATTTCGAAAGTACTCCCTCCGTCCCTAAATAACAGTCGTTTTTTTTACCGTAAATTTAACTGGATTTATAGAAAATACGTGCAACATTTGTATCTCTAAATAAATTTATTATGAAAATAGATTAATAGTTTTTATATATATTTAGTCAAAGTTATTTCTCGGAAAACGAAAATCACATATTTAGGGATAGAAGGAGTACTGGTACAAATACTACTCCCTCGAGCCTCCATAAAAAAGACGCAAAAGTCAAACTAATTTAACTTTAATTAATTTGCAGTGAATAAATGAATATGACTGATGAGACAAGGCGTCCTTGCTTACCATCAGCCGGGTCGGCGCCCCGGTTCTTGAGCTCTCGGTACATCTGGGAGAGCGCGCATGGGCCGCACCAGAAGTGGACGCAGCAGTCGCCGCACGGCTCCGGCGGCAGGCCGTACGCCGCCCGGAGCTTGCGACGGTAGGTGCAGGTGTAGAGGCAGTGGCACGGGAGCAGCCACACCCCGGCATGCAGCAGCAAGCAGTAGATCAGGCCGGCTAGACCACAGGCTGATGATGCACACAACGTACGACGACGTACACATGTTAATCATCAAGTTGTTCTTCGTTCCACTTCAGTTCAATTTGAACAGAAACAGAGATCGTATCTTACATGTGACGCCCTTGTCTAAGACCTCTGCCACCTGTCCGAACGGGATACACGGGCAGAAGAACGACAGGCAACCTGCGGCACCACCGTCCGTCTGTTAGTACCTAGCAGTAGCTGATGTCTAGCTAGCTGCTGGTGAAGTCGTCGTGTTTAATTTGGCTCGCAGCAAAAAATCCACGAGAATTTACATATGTATACGCTTAATCATCAATATATATATATATATATATATATATATATATATATATATATATATATATATATATATATATATATATATATATATAATGGATTCGTGTTAAATAAGGCTTTTAGTTGTTTGTCCAGAAGAAGAATGGCGACTCACAGCTCTTGCAGTCGCTGAAGCAGCCACAGAGGCCGGTGGTCCATGCCCCCGCCGGCGGTGGATACTCGCCGCTCATCTTCTAGCGGATCGATCGGAGGTTAATAATCGAGATATAATAAGGTATAGTGCGAGTGCATCAGTTTGGCAAGTAACCATATTTATAGATGCGGTCTAGAAAGGCGAGGGGCTGTAGGCTGTCTGTTCTACCAATCAGATTAAAGAATGGATTTCGTTATGCAAAAAATAAACGGGCATCTTATTTGTTATTATATATTATTATATATGCTGGTAGACGGAGACTCCATTGAATTTAATTTGCTATCTATAGGATTTATTTAATTTCATCTCCCTTTGTTCCAAAAGGAAAGTTGTTTTAACTTTGTCATAAATCAAACTTTATTATCTGGTTTTGATCAAGTTTATAGAAAATGCACAAACATCTACAACGTCTAAACTAGATTTATTATATAGACTATTAAATATACTTTTTTGATACTGTACCTATTAATATATGCTTCTATAAACTTGTCAATGTTACACTACATTGACTTATGCCATTGGCATTCTCACCATTGGTTTTATTCAAACTTAGGCATGCAAGCTCTGCCTCGCCCGACCTCTGAGGGCCGGCTCCGCCTCGCCCGACCCTTGGGTCCGCTCTCCGCCACGTCCGACCCTTAGGGTCTGCGCTCCGCCTCGCCCAACCCTTGGGTCCACGTTCCGCCTCGCCCGACCCTTGGGTCCACGCTCCACCTCGCCCGACTTCTGGGGGCGGGTTCCGTCTCACCCAACAGCAAGGTCGCGGGCTCCGCCTTGTCCGGCCCTTGGGTTTGCGCTCCGCCTCGCCTGGCCTCTAGGAAGGAACTCCGTCTAGCCCGACCCTGAGGTTGGAGGCTCCTTCTCACCCGACGGAGACCCATACCGCCGCCAACCACTCCAGATCCAAGCGTATGGGCCTAGGTCAAAGCTCTAATGCCAGGGAAGTGACTGGCACGCCTCAATGTAGCCCGTGACCCATGACGGGCCATACCTGGGATTTAGGTCAGGAACAGCATCGGGCATACAGATGATGTTCTGCCTAACCCTCGTACAAACATTGACCGGCACGTCAGTTCACCACGACGTCCGCCAGGACGGAGTGGGGCTCCATGACCAGTAGATGACGCCTGCACGTGGCGCCAGTGATGGACAGGGCCACGACGAGAAGTTGTCCCTGTTGACGTCTATAGGGTCGGCTGGACCCACATAAAGGAGGAGAATAGACCTGGCGATCCTAAAGGACTTCTTCCTCTCGTTCTCTTCTCTTTCTTCACTGTAACCCGTGCTTTCCCTTAGCCTATAAAAGGGAAAGCAGGGCTTCCCATAAGGGGCATCGTAACACATCACATCCAGACTCGTCTCGAGACCATACTCGACTCAAATCCGATCAACTCATCGAACCCTGAACACACAATGGAGCAGCGACCGAGCCCCCAGTGCCCGTTCGCTCCTCTCACACGAGACTTGGGACCTATCCCTCTCTCGACTGTTTGTAACCCCTACTACGAACTTTCAGTGCTAGTAACACGAGCAGCAGCAATGAACTGGATGTAGGGATATTCTGCCCGAACTAGTATAAACCTCGTGTCCTCTTAGTACACCATTTGGGCCAGACGCACAATATTAGAAATTTACTTATTGGTGGCAACTCAAAACACCGACAGTTGGCGCGCCAGGTAGGGGACTTTTGCGCGTCTCGACATCCACACTAGGCCTCAGATGGCTAGTCACAACCTCAGCTGGGTCCCGGGCACGCATGTGTGCTTCGGGGACCTAGACTTCATCGTCACGACGGAGGGAGAGTTGGCAATGGCTCCCACCACCATCCGACCTCTCCACTCCGCCGGCCTCTATAACAGAACCATCCAATTTATAAGACCACAAGTACAATAGCAATCACCGAAGCGATCAAACTGTCATATTTGAACCCATATAAACCCGGTAGTCCGATGAAATCACGAGGGATCTCAAGCAAACCAACGTACAAACCAAGATCGTACATGATTCAACACAACCAGTCACATATTACAATAGGTTCACAAATAGTTATCATACATCGGAGTTTCAATAGTGTTATTACAACTCAATTTCAAAGTAGCGGAAGCAACATAGTTTTGAAACAACATCATGATAGTTCAAATACATAGCCAGTTTTGGATCATCTCCAACAAAAGCACATAGAAGAGATGATATAGAATGACCATGCCCTTGGTCTTACTCTCCATCAATAGTAGGAGTTATGCAGTGCTTGCAATAACCATGGTACATCACGTCATCTGCAACAAATGAGAATAAACCCTGAGTACGAGAATGTACTTAGCTAGACTTATCCGTCATACACCAAAATAATAAGACACCAAGGAGTATGTATGTCTTTGAGAGGTGGAGTTAGTTTGACAACATTTTGCATAAAAGCTTAAGTAATATAACTTGGAGATTTAGTACCTCTAGCATCAATTTGAATACCTATTCAATGTACTAGAGCAATCACTTGATTAAGCTAACAAGCATTAGTAACCATATCCGGTATAAGAATACTTTGAGCATCATCATAACCATCAAGTTTCCATTAGTGCTTCTACATTGCCGCTGCTCAGTCAAGTTCTCACTTTCTAGGAGAGACGGCGATTCGAATCGATTCCTACCTAGCTGGGGAATTTATTCCTAACATAAACCGAGGCACACCTCATGAAGGTAGCCTCAAGTCACCTTTGGTACAATTCAGGACTAACTTGCGGGTCCAATCAGCGCTGCACCCTCAGAGATTCTACCAGTCTGCCAGGAAGATCAGGACCCAATCCCGCCCTTGGACTCACGCCATTGGCTCTCTGCACATCCTTACTACCTCTAGTGTGCGCACTTTCACTTATCGGGGCTCGACCTGAATCGAGCTACTTAGCTTCGTGGTCGTATCATCGGATCCGTCCAACTAAGTGCTAGGCATGCATTCAACATGACATGAGGACATACAGTGGATCGGGCCATAACCGACACAGATGGGGATAATTAGGCACCCAAGACCTCCATGCCTTGTTGCTTCTTTATCACAATCTAGCCTGGTCTCCTTTATTCATTAACACATGGTTATATTCCACGCTAGCACATATAGCCAACCATGATTAGTTATCCGCCTATATCATCCAAGTGATAGGTAATCACCCGGCTTCTATCGACTAAGCATGGCTAAGCACATATTTGATCCTGAACCTTCATAGCATACAAGATATGTATATCTAAACAAGGAAGATATATGTAGCAAGTGGTTCCAATCAACTCTTAGTAGTTAATGCATCAACATAAAAGGACTAAAGTTGATAGTTCGAAAACATACGAGGAGTAAAATGCTCGGGGCTTGCCTTTCACAAAGGTTGAGGGCTAGTGATCTGGGCACTCAGGCAACTGTTCACCATCGGGCTCGCCTTCTCCTGGGCCCTCCTATTGCTACACTTCCTAATGCTCTTCCTGGGGATTAGCTTCATACTCCAACATGGTGATTTCTTCCGTCGCACCTATTGCATGCATATGCAAAAAGTGAGAATCATGAATTCACAAGAAGGGTCATGGATCATATGTCATGATAATGCACATGGTTAAATGATGACTATCATATTAGGTCATTAGGATGATAACAAGGTTAAATTCTTAGTTACTGAGTAGGTGCATATCTCTTCTCTAGAAATTTCAAGAATCAACACTAAGTCTATTTCTAGACCACAACACAACAGCTACAAGTATAGATCATAACTAGAGTTCTACTCAACCAACTGCTATGATCCTAGACTTTCTGGAAAGCTTATAAAATTTCCTACAACTTTCATTTAATCTCCAAAAGCTAATTCAACTACTTTCCTAGCCAAAATAGGTAAACTTTCCAGTTCTGTCCAGAAATTCTAGAGAGTAAACATTTGGGAAGACCAAATTTTAACCGCTATAACTCTCAAACCATTTGGCCTATTGCCCTGAAATTTTCACACAAGCTAGATAAAGAAATTCCCTATAACTTTGTTATTAACAATTTTTACAGCAAACTCCATTTTACCTATGCAAAACACCTAGCAACAGAATCTATCCAAACAACTTCTATAATTGAATTTTAGAGCCAAAATATTTTACTGCATACTAGAAATCAAAATTGGGTACAACCAAAGGTACCAACAGTTCATTGGCATCATACACACTCTAGAAAATATGATGGTCAAGCCCAAATAAATTATTTAAATGCCTTTATTAATTTATTTGGACACTAAGGCAAAATAAAGAAAATATATCAAAAGTGCACAATAAATTTTGAGAAAATTACAGTGGTTCATATATGATCCCATAGGCTACAGTAAAAATTTCATGCTAAATAAACAAGTACAACACCTCTACACAAATGATAAGTAATAAGGACTGATTTTAGTGAAAATAGTTATCCCTATTAAAAAGTGTCAAACAATAGGTTTCATATTTTTCTTAGCTTTCCTAAAACCCATTAATACTGTACAAAAATTTGCATGGCAATATGTTACTTATTATTATCCTTATGAATTTCCTCAGAAAACACCATTTATTAAAAGATAAATAGAAAGACCCTACTCAAAGCAAGTTTACTGCAAGTTCAACATTTTTCATAACTAGAGCAAGTCAACACAAGATCAGCAAAATTGGAATCACAATTTTATCACTTTTCTAGCTCAAGTTATACATTTTACAAGATTGCAAACAATTTAAAAGCACTTATATAGCTCCATTTAATTCTCCTAGAAAACCATCCCAAACAGTGGGTTTCATATTTTTATTAAATACTACACTTCAAGATGAATCCAACAAAATTTGGTTCACCTCATTTGGACACTCCTAGCTCTAGATATGAATTTTTGAAGTTGGTATTCAAATCTATGAAAAATAAGAAAAATCAATACAACACAGTGACTGACAGATGGGGCCCGCTGATCAGCAGGTCCCACGCGTCAGCAACACCAGGACAGAGACAGCGTTTGACCGGCGAAAGCTCACCAACAGCGATGTCTCCGGTGGTCACGTCACCACGGTTGC